ATGGACTTAACGTTTTTATAGCAAAAAATTAACATTGCAGTGTATAAATGGATATCTTTCCTGCATTTCTCGCTTTTATTCATACGGTTCTGGTAGAGTATTTTCCGGCAAGCCAGGCGTTCAGTTCTTCTACTTTTTAAGTGAATCTTCTTTTTTAAGATCTTTGGTGTATTGAACTTAAAAATGCTTTAAACAAATACTCACTATACGTGAAATTAAACATTCTTTAAAATTTATAGTTGATAATACTTTTAGTTGTAAGTGTGTACGCTTGCTCCATAATTTTTAGTGAATGTTCATTTAATTTTGTATTTTAGAACATTTTTAATTTCAATATTTCAAAGTTACTGATGAGGAGGATTTTCAACATCTTCGAAATGTGTAAAAAAGAAATATTTGTTTTTGAGAAAAAAGGCTTGATTTCAGAAAAATTAACTGAGACCTCATATTACTATTTTATGAAAAATATTTTTAAAATTATTACCGGAAAATCGTAGATATTCCTGAGGACGTACTCCGCTTCGACCAGTCCTCGGAAAAGGATAGAGTCCTCTTGTGCCGCCCCGAGGGCTCTTGTATCCTATAGGGCCGCTAGATTCATCTGAATTACAAAATAAATTCATTATAAGCATCATTATACTAAAATGTTATTTAAAATAATTCGTAATGCAAATTTGAATCTAATAGTGAAAATAGAAAATTCATTCCAAATTCATTTCACTCAATTTTAAGTGCTAGGCATTAGGAGAAACTATTTATTTTATTAATAATTGGTTGTTCTTCAAAATTAGTGATTTGTCTAAAATAACTGAATAATTATTTTTTGCAAGAAAATAAAATAAGTTATTTGGCTTTCTACTTCTACTCGATATAAATTTAATATATTTCCAAATATGATAATTTATAATTAAGAAGTATATTGTTAAAAATCTAAAAAATATTAAACCATTGAATTTCTGCATAAAATAAAATCTTAATTATGAAAAGTTAAAAAAATATTATAATTAAACTTAATCAGTTTTAATTAATTTTTAGTTTTGGTTATTATTTTATTCATAGCTCAAAAATATCACACATTAAAAAAGCTTTTAAGTTAAAAATATTCGAAAATTATATTTAGTAAGAGTGAAAGTTGTGTCAAATGATTTATTTTCATCTTACAAACGGTTTGGTTAAAGTAAAATATGTGGTTTAGGAGTGACTATTCATGTTTCTGCATTTGAAATATTATTCTTCAGGATAATAGTACACAGTATATATTATAAATATATTCAAATCGATATCACTTATATATAAATATATTCAAATCGGTATCGTTTTGTTTTTGTAAGATTTTTGTTATCTTAACCCCCACACATGAATACTTACGCTTTTAACTTATCTGAAAGATTTTTTTATTTCAAGGTGTTTGTAAAAAAAAAAATCTATTGTTGTGAACATATAAAATGCTTTTTATATTTTATATCTAAAATGATAATAAATATTGCAGAAATAAATAATTCATTTTATCTTAATGTATGAACAATTATTAAAATTTAATTAACACCAGTAAAATTAAAATAATGTTAGTATTTTGCAATATCACAACAAAAAGTATTTATATTTGATAAACAACAAATAACTTCAAGAAATCTAGAATTTTTGCGTTTTCTGAGGTGTCAGCCTTGATAATTTAAATAATAATAAATTATTGATTGTATATTCCAAATACAAAAAGTATTTATTTTTGATAAATAACAAATAATTTCAAGAAATCTAGAATTTTTGCCTTTTCTGAGGTGTTAGCCCTAATAATTTAAATAATAATAAATTATTACTTCCATATTCCACCCTGGCGAATACAAAATTATTCTGATGTTTATAAAATAATAATTTAATGAAATATAATTATATAATAATGTTCATCATCAACAATCAATCATTAATCAACAATAATATTATTAATTTATCAATAATTTATTATTTGATTATTAATCTATATAATAATTTATATAGATTTTTAGACCCTAGGTAAAATTTGTCTCACCTGCCATAATTTGACTTGTAATCGACATCAGCAGAATGAATACAGCAGATATGCTTAGAACAGTCATCTTTTCTAGCATAATCGATCCCTTCACACTTTTTCCTCAAAAGTTTCACTTATCAATTAAAGATCAAACTCAAATTACAAACTATGGTAGATACTGTTCTCTTAAAATCTGATGCTGGTCCTTTTATATGATGTCCAACAGGTGTGCGGGTGTCATCCACCGATTCTGCGCAATTTAATTCGGGGATGATTTTTGATCTGAATACAGGATGATATCACGTACCACATTTCTCTAGTTTGCGAAAGTTTTTCTTTAAGATAATCCAGAAACAAAATTGGGATACGAGAATGATAATTTTGTTTGGGTAAGATTATGCCATCATTGTTGTTGAAGTGAGTTTTTCATCTTTATAAAAGTATCGTTATAATATATTTAAGAGCTTTATTGGCACCAAAAAAATTTAAAACACTTTTTTATTTTGTAAAGATATAAAAACATGAACGTTTTTTTGTTGTTTTTGATTATTATCAACACTATTCTTATTTTATATAAAATATATTTTGAAATTATGATCAATTTTTTTGCGAAATTTTGATTTTTATTTTATAGTTTTTTAATAGTGCTTTGCAAAATAACAAGTGATGATGAAAGATCTTTGATTGAAGAGAAAGAGTTTTCTAACAGGTATTCATCCAGATCAAACTAATATAACTAAATCACGTTTCTAAAATAATTTCATTATGCTTCTATACGTTTCAAGTCTCACTTAGAATCTTTGAATTGAGTTAAAAAAAGGAAAAAAATATATAAAAACTGCATAGAATAAAATTCTTGATTAAAGGTCATATTTTTAAAGGAATAAAAAAAATTAATTTCAAAAACTTAACTAAAATTAATTTATAAACGACGAGAAGCTTGACTAAAAGTTCTACCGAACAGTTTGATACTATTTTTATAATTACTGTTTTTTTACTATTTAAATCACCTTTTTAAAATGAATATATTTTATAAAACTGCATGCATAGAATAAAATACTTGATTAAAGGTCATATTTTTAAAGGATTAAAACAAATTAATTTCAAAAACTTAACTAAAATTAATTTATAAACGACGAGAAGCTTGACTAAAAGTTCTACCGAACAGTTTGATACTATTTTTAAAATTACTGTTTTTTTATTATTTAAATCACCTTTTTAAAATGAATATATTTTATAAAAAAAATATAAATTATTTTGTAACAAAAATTTATAAATTTGGTATATACATAACAGTTGTTAGATAGAATTTTTTTACCATTGATTTTGAAGATATCATCATAAGCTCATAATTATTACTTTATTATTACTAATCATGCATTATCTAACTTTTTTATTCTATTTCTTACATGTTGTTTTGTACTAAGAAGGTATGAATATTGTATGTAATTGATTTTTGCATTCTAGGGATCAAAATAAGATATTTTGCTGAAGAAACCATATCGCTAAAATGAAGTCAATTATTTTGTAAAAAAATCCAAGCGTACATTACTTCATTATTATTAATCACATATTTTCTAGATGAGTCTATTACTTTGTTGCTAAAAATAACCTGGTAAATGCAATTTAGTAAATTCAGTTATGCTCTAACGTTTTGTTTTACGTAATTCGTCATTATTAGAACTTACAAAGACGTACGACCAGATTCTAATTAATTCATAATGTCTTTAATTTCCGGACCGCTCGCCGGGCATTTGACACATGAACCTTTGCCTTACCTAACTTTTTTCTCTTTACTTTAACTGATTTACATGATTTATGATGAAGCAAACTGACAATAATTAATTTCAAGATGTTATTTGAATTTCTACATTAATTTTTAATGCTCCTTCCGGTGTCACAAATGAAACAATTTAAAAAATTTCAATCTCTTCACATTTTTTAATTGGTATACTTTATTTCCTTATAAAGAAGTAAATAAAAAGGTATTAATAATAAATTATAAATAATAAGTTTATTTATAATTAATTAGTATTATTACATTTTTCAGAAGAAGAAGTTATGTTTTTACCAGAAAATCCTACTTGCTAAGGGGGCGTCCATTAATCACGTGATCGATTTTTTAGGCATTTTTGGACCCCTTTCCCTTTAGTGATATAATAAATTATGAATAATAAGTTCATTTATAATTGATTAGTATTGTTACATTTTTCAGAAGAAGAAGTTATGTTTTTACTAGAAAATCCTACTTGCTAAGGGGGCGTCCATTAATCACGTGATCGATTTTTTAGGGATTTTTGGAACCCTTCCTCTTTGGTGATACGTTGTGATATTTAAAATTAACCTTCCTCACCCACCAAACATTACCTGCATTTTTAGTCACGTAAAATTTTTTGATCAAATTTTTCGAATTTACGAAAAAACGTAAATTATTTGGCCTTTTTTTTAAGTTCAGATAAAAAAAATACACGTGATATCTTACTAGGCCCCTCTCTTCCCCACGTGATGTTTCGTGATTTTTTGCCAAATCCTTCCTTCCCCTATAAACCTCACGTGATTAATGGTCGCCCCCTGAATAACCTTTTTAACCTTTTGCACTCCACCATATAGGTGCCAGTAGAGTGCAAAATGTTAATCTTCAGTACTCATCTATTTGTAAAAAAGTATTGGATAATTTTGAAATTTAGTTGTCTCAATTTAAATGCTTTTAAAAAAGTTTAAAAATAAATTACATATTGTATTTGGATAAACAAAATCTATTGTTTAAATAAATATTAGATATATGGAAGGGTGAAGAATGTTGAAGAACTTTATAATGTTTAGGAAAAGCTCTCGACAAATTCAGAACAAATTTTTCTCAATTGTATTTTTTGAAACAGACAAATAGATATTCAAATTATTTATTTGGCCATTATTATACTAGCGTATTTTTCTATAAATATTTACTACAGCTTTGTACTGGCAAGTGTTAGATGATTTCCTATAGGTAAAGATGGTACATGATCATTTGATCCAAAGGTCGGTTGGTTTGACACGATTATTATATTATTCCACGATCGATGAGCAAAAGCACGTCCATGGCAAATACTCATTATTGACTCAATTAAGATACATTTAATATTTATTTTGATCCAGTTAAACTATGTCACTGAAAATAAATCAAACGGAATTACAGAGTATTGACTATTAATCATGTTTTCTTTTTATTCAGTCAGGACAGAAATCGTTCAAGTGGGTAATAACATTTAAAAATACCTTGTATAATGTGAACCTTATTTTTATTTTAATAATGATGAGATTCATTTAAATAATTTATCTACGTGCAATTTGATTAAAATAAGATTTTAAATGATGCCTTCATAAATGTTTTCACAATGTTCATTTTAGTGTAGATGCTTTGTCTTTATTCTACAACATTATTTTTCATAAATTATTAGCATTGACTGTATATAAATCAATAAATGTAAACTAAGATATGAAATCAATGATATGTGAATTACCTGAGAAATATATACAATAAATTTTAAAATATAAAATATTTAAGGCAACGTCCTTTCCTTACCTTGACTAGGTTAAATACGAATCCTTGAATATTAATAAGAGCTTTCCACGCACGGTTATTAAAATAGGATCAATATAATGATAATTTAATGTTTCTATATATATAATGTTCTATTGAATCATAATTCATATCATATTTCCCGCTTTTCTACAATAAATAATAAACATGTACTTTGAATATGTGATTCCCTTCCTTTGGAAAACTGTGTAGTTGTTAAACTTTCTTCTGTTCCAAGTTAGTTTTGTTTACATTAAGTAATATTAATTTTTGAAATATTAATTTTTGTTTGCTCGAAGTTAAAATATACCTAGTTTTAGTATTTTGATTCATCAATATTAAAGTAAAATCATGATGCAAAATCGATTAATAAATTGGGTTAACCGATACCAAAAAGTGCACATACGAAATTTTAAATATTAATAATTTTAAATAACTAATTCAATATATATCATATATTACCATCAATGTGGTATATATATTTGAAGTACCAACATATCATTAATTTTATATTAGAAATCTATATCTTCTACCCTCTAAATTTTATATTGTACTATAGTACAATTGCTCAATTTGCTCATGTTAAAGTGAAAAAAATATCTGAATGGTTTGGTTAAACATAGTTTAAGGAACTTATTTATCAAAATTTTTGAAAATTGATGAAAAAACTGTATTAGTACCGATAAATAATATCACAACATAGAACTTCACTATTGAGTGATTTTTATCATTAAATTTAATTATTCATTATAATTTATTAAACTATCGTTTCTATTTTTTCTTCAAATATTTATTTTGATTTAAATATTTGCCAGAGAATTATTATTAAATAGGTAAATTAAATATTAGCCTTGTCTTATTTTTCAGAAAATTGTCTCGAAATAAGTTTGAGAATTGTCGGTTGTGTTCCTAAATGAGTTGTAAGTAAATGTAAAGTAATTGTATTGAACATGTGAATAATTAATGTATGATGTCGTAATTGAAAAGTAGACTGTTGATTTATTCCGCTCAACAATTTCGTTAAATATCTTCTGCTAAACATAAATTCAGAACGTAATTTGCGTGCAAAGTAACAGGATTAATTCTATTGTTTAACAAAAATGGTAAATTTGCAAAATAGCAGCATTGAATTAAAATATCATAAAGAAAAAATGAATCTAAATAAAAAAAAAATTTCTATACAGTAGTTAATAAATAAAATCAAGTAAAATAGCTCAATTTTTTTTGATCGTCAATCAGAACTATTCTTAGTGTTCTATAACCTGATGTGATGTGATTTCTTATAAGCTAGCCTTATTAAAAGACAACCCATTGGTTGATCATTAACTCTTTGATGAGTATATCATTAAATTTTTCTAATAGTGATAAATATAAATAAAAGACTGTTTTTCAGTTGATAAAAATTGATGCTTACTGTGCTTATACGTGCTTAGTGTGACCTTTAGAAGTTGCAAAACCAAAATTTTTACCACGAATAGGCTTTTTAACACTCAGCAATAATTTATTAAATTTCTTCTATATTTATTAATTTAATATTTTTTTATTTTTTATTTTTAGGGAGTGAACAACTGGACCAGTAAACATGACAGAAAATCAAATTTAGATCGCATGTGGCTAATAAAATGGTCCATGCGCCTGACCGGAATTTGGCCATACGATCTAGTTGGCAAATATTCGACAATGTGGTTTATGTTTACGTGCCTGAATTGGTTTTCTTTGGTCTGGATGGGTTTTGCAATGTGTTCATTTATGTACAGATACATGAACGATATTATTGTTGTGATAGATACAATTTGTACCTACAGTACAAATGTAATATGTATGGTTAAAATGACATGGATCATTTATAAACGACAACTTTTTCATGAGCTGATAGATATTGTACTTAGCAACCGTTTGCTGGAGATTAATCCTTTACTGGAATGGAATAGGGGAATACGTGAGTAACAAATCGAATTTTAATATTATATAAAAATCATATTATTTGTCACATATGAATGATTACTTTGAACCACTAATGCCTAAATGTCTTTAAATCTATGAATAATAATAATTTTATTATTACCATTTTTCTTTTTACAGCTTCAAGTTATGCCCAAAAGCTGCAAAAATTTACAATTAAAATATTTGATAAAAATTGGAAAGAATATCGTATAGTATCCAGAATTTTTTGTACCATGGTTATTGTCACTGCTTTATCATATGCAAGTATTCCGTTAATAATTATGGCTTATATGAAATTTACATCTGGAATTGTGCCAAGACATCATAGTAAGTAGATGATTAGTAGTTGAATATTTATACAGTCTCCCAGAACTTAACGTCAAGAGGAAACAAATTGAATTGAACTTGACTGTGCTGTAAAAATTCGAGAAAAAATTATCTCACGTTGTTGGAAATTATGAGCTTTCAAGTGTAAAAAATAAAGCATAAAGCTTTTGTGAAATTGTGACATTTTTTTTTCATTTAAACTTCAAATTTCAAAAAATCCGTAAACGTAACATTTAAATCCGTAATAAATTATTAACAGACTTTAGTATATTTTTTTAGACGGGGTCTCCCAAAGTCGATTTAAAAAATTTAAATTCATAGTTCAACAAAAAGTCTTAATTCTTTAAAACTTGGGGAAATTAAGTCACTATTGTTGACTATGGTCTTAAACAACTTTTATTTACGGATTCAATGATTATTAGTAATAATCGCATTGGATCCGTAAATAAATGGATAATGAATTTACATTTTTTTAAATCGACTTTGAGAGGCCCGTCTTAAAAAAAATATACTAAAGTCTGTTGACAAGTTTTATCAAAATTTGACGCATTTAATCAGGGTTGTAAATGGTAAAACACTTGATAATTTTATTGTCATAACAAAATTGTGACTCTTGTACTCTTTACGTTTATGTTGTATATATTTCAACATATAGCATTACCTCCTTGTTTTTCACGTTTTTGATCTAATTTTAAATCAAACTGTTGATCAATGTTTCAGTCTACAACGCCGATTATTCAGTGTTGTCGATTGAGGTGTCACAGACGCCCTTCTACGAGACATCATTAACACACGAAACATTCGTAGGACTAATTATTTATTCAGGTTAGAAATGATTAATTAAATCTAATTTAAATGATTTGACAGATTTAAAATCGAATGACACTCATTAGCATTTTTGATAAAGACAAATTTGCATGAACAAGCAAGCTTTGATGGTTTGTGTGAACTTTGGAATTGTCTAGAATTTTTAGGAAGTGTTTTCTTTTATTCCATTAAGATTATTGTCTCTAGTTGTAGTTGGCTTAGATGTCATCTACTGCTTCTTCACAATGTACCTGCGAGATCAACTTCGAATATTGCAGCAAATGTTGAAAATGATTGATGAAGAAATCGATGAACCTTTCAAGCAGAAAAAAATCATTGAGTGCGCTGATGAACGTCTCATGAAATGCGTGCGGCACCATACAACAATAATCAGGTGATGGGCTATTGGAATTATTTTATCAGAATTTTAAATAAAGAATGGCTAGACCACCGAGATGAATACATTTTTGGTACGACTTACTGGAGATAAGTTTTTAATTGAATATTGAATATTTTAATTCATATCGATAATAATGTTCCTGTCTACTGCACTCAGGGAGAATTTTCGATAGCACGAAATATATCTAAATAAAACATACTGCCAACGACCAACAAATATACCTACATATAACTAATATTTTGCTTAGCGATTTGAATACACTTTAATCCCAGAATAAAGATAGACAAATAAAAAATTATGTTGCTCAATAATTGAATAATATTTAAAAAAATAAATTAAAGCGCTATTTTGTTTTTTATAACTATTTTTACATTGAAATAGCTCATGTGGATCTAGTTCCATATAAAACAATTTGCACGCAAATAAAAATATCAAGTTATAAATTAATTTATATGTGAAAAATAAGGGTTTACATATAATTTTGGCAATCAAAAGTATTTTCAGTAATCTTAATTGAATAAATCTGAAGTATTTATTCAATGGTACTTATGCAAGTCCAAGAACAATTTAGATTAGACCAGTAATAAAAATTGTTTAATTTCAATTTTGACTTACCGTATTATTGATATTTTATTTCTACACATGTTAATTATAAATCCAATTAATTATTATGCTTGTATAGTTTTCAGAATAAATTGGAAGTTGCCTATGGCCCAGTAACATTATTCCAAACAGTATTGAGCTCGATTTTGATATGTGTAATAGCATTTCGAAGTTCTATAGTGAGTAGTCTACACATATTTTACTATAATCAATAAATATGATTTCTATATTGAATACCGATTCATTAAGGCCATTTATAATTGATTTTTATTTTATACAGTCAACGACGGATTTGACAAATTTATTAATAAAAATACCATATCTGTTGGCGGCCATAGTTCAACTTCTTCTGTACAGTTATTATGGACAGGCTGTTATTAATGAGGTACAGATCGTATTTTTAATAGATTTCTAGTAATGGGGGATTGTATTAAAATGATATTAGGTTGCATTTTATTGTCTGGTCACACATTTTGCAACTCATTTTGTCAGAATCAAGCAGAGCAATGATGTGCTGAGATGCAGTTTTATTTGCATGATGTTTTTGATGATCATTAAAATACATACATAGAAGATGATCATTCAATTTATTAAACAGCAAAATAATATAATGAAATTATATTAACTATTTATAAAATGACTTACAAATTTTAGTTAAAATTTAGTTATAAATATATTGTGGTTTTTATATAAAGTCTATACAAATATTATAGGTAAATATATATAAATTAATACTAAGGATGATTTGAAATTACTTGTCAGTTATTATTTTAAAATGCAGTGTGAGTATAAGCTATAACGAATTAAATTAACATACTTATATCGTTATTGACTTGTTGACTTCATCTTCAAATACAACATCCAGATTTTCAAGTATATAAAATTATCCAGTTGCGATTAATACAGCGATAAATCTTTATTAATACTTTTCCTGAGGCTGTAATAGATTTAATTGAATTACTTACAACAGCTACTATGTTAAGTTAACCTTCATTTAATATGTAGCTTATTATGAATGTTGACTATAAAGCTTTTGTATAAAATATTTTTATTTTCAGAGTACAGAACTGGCTACAAGTTTATATGAAACACACTGGTATGAATATTCGAAATCATTCAGAAGTAGTTTGTTGATAATTTTTCCACAAATTCAAAGGCCTTTGCATCTTAGTGGAATGGGATTTATTGTTATGTCGTTGGATTCGTTCAAAGCAGTAAGTTTTTATAGTATTTTTTATAATAATCAAATAAATATTTATTTGAAGATGTCAAATTGAAATTAACGAATTATACATATTCCATACGATTTTCTGGAGCAATAAGATGCGCAATAAGAAATTTGTATGGAACTCTTGAGTAACTTGCATCTTAACAATTATTTAAATTCATTAATTTAGCTTTTTACCAAATCTTGCAATGCACCAAAATATTCATCTTTATGGTAATTGGTAACAGTAAAATTCTTGAAAATAACAAGTTTATTTTACCCAGAGTTTCATGATGGGACAATTTTCTCCTTTCAATCGTATAATTTTGATATATGTTGGCCATTTGCACTTTACCAAAGTGAAACTGTAAATGTTGTCTATTATGTAGTGTATTTATTTCTTAAAAATAAGAGTATAATTTTAAAAATATAGAAAAAACTCTCAGTGCATTTAGAGAAGTAATTGCTCTACTTTCACAGATTCTGAGTACAGCAATGTCGTATTTTACTCTTCTACAATCTATCACGGAACCGGCTAAGAAAAATTAAAATAAATTTATCAATAAATGCTTTATGTTAAAATTATATTTATATCTAAAGCATATTTGATATTAAAAATAAAAAGTGAAATAATTTTTATGAAAAATTATAGCAAATTTTACTGTAATTGAAGCAGTGAATTTGATAGTATAATACTGTGGGGATACATATTGCAACGTAAAACAACAGCAAAAACAAGTATTATTATTGTGTTTTACAAGATTTATATACATATTTATATGTCTTTATGTTCAAGAAATATACAAAGTTATCCTCCAGTATCCACTTCCATATGGTTACTGTAACTTGATTCGGGAGAGAGTTGCTACGATTCAAGTTTCAATATCGATTTGACAAGCCAATATATTCGTATGAATGAAACGATTAATAATTTTTATTTAAAAAAAAAAGATATATAAAAATCTGCATAATATTTATCATTATCAACTCCGTTTTATTACAAGGAAGTCAATTAATCGACACTAAAAAGAAATACAATTCAATAAGATTGACGTTAAATGTAAGTTATAGATATATAGATTTTTTTAAAATGAATTGGAACGGGCATTTCTGAAAAACTGTATTACTTCACTCATCTTAGCTGTGAATTTTCGTTAATCAATTCAACACCTAATAAATCTTCAACTTATATTTGGACTTTATGTAAGGCTGGTTGCAGATTTCAAACGTAAGCCCCAGATTTTTCTGGGTTACCCCATTATGCCGAATTGTTGACTGTGGAATGTTATACTTGTGATGATGATTTGTATTGCATCCCTAAAAGTATTTTTATTTTAAACTATATTTGAGTTATTAGATCCTCCCAGTCCCAGATTAGCATAATTACAAGTTACCGTCCCGGATTTCAAGTAAAAATTCTGGTCACCTTACATTAGGGCCATTGCAATCAATGCAAACGAATAGCCCGTCGAACTTTCGTCCTGAATGGTATGTCTTTGTTTCGACTTTTATTTACAAAGTTCTTGACATTGTGGTACTAATGTAATATACAATATGGGCACTAATGCGTTAAACACAAATGCAGCCAAGACGCAATAAATGTCATGTTCGTATGCGCTTTACAGGTTTTTGGAAAAATTAAACATTGAATCGTGCGTATGGCGATGTTCAGTTGGTTAAACTCTCAATAAAAACGCTTTTGTACGCGAACCGTACATTTGGGAGAGGAATCCATGAGCAATGACCAAAAAACACAAACTTAGAAAAAACTTATACAAGAAATATTAGTTTAGATAACAATAAAGTTTTCACAACATTTTTAGTG